ATCTGCGGGTCGGTAATGCCCCTTATAATTACCGCTGCTATTAATTCATCACTCATTCCGTTAACAATGCGTAACCGTAATAAGGAACGCCTGGCATATTCTGCATAGGTGGGGTAGTTATCGGAGTTCGTTTTCATCACGTCAAACAAAATATTTGCAATATCAATCCGTGATGGACACAAAGTTTTAAATTCTCGTTTGAAATTTGACCAACCACGATCGTTACTAACCCATTCGTTGAGCCACAGCTTCGCGTCACCCTTAAGACAATTTCCTATACGCGCCAAACACTCGCGATCATCCCATCGATTTAAACTACGCACGTGATCAACTTCCGTACACCACACATCGAAATCATTTAAACATGGATCAAAATTCGATATAAAAATATGATTCGACCTTACCGGTATAGCGTTAATTACACTCACAAGTTTTTCGGTAACCTCACTCATTACCATGTCGGCACTGGACTGCACCGTACCCGTGCAAGGTACGGATGCGGCGAAGCTTGCGGAGCAAGACTCCGACTCCGTCGCTGGCACGACAGTGCCGTCCAGGTGCGAAGATGGCGTCATACTCGGAGGAGCCGTAACGTCGCGTGACGTACCCGCATTATTCTTATTCGAAGCACCACTCACTGAACTATCTTCCAAGGCAGTCAAACGATTCAAAATCGTTTGTAATTGTTGCTCCAAACCAGAGATAGGCGGCGTGTCACTACCTTTACGACCGTTATGCCTTTTGCCTTGCGACATTGTTTAATTATTCCTCTCTTTTTTTTTTTCTTTTATTTACTACTCAACAATAATTTATTGCACACTGAATTTAAATCAAGGAAGCCGTGCTCAGAGCGGAGAGGAATCCCACTTCTGAAGTTATAAATCTATTTCGAAATATTAAAAAAAGAGAATGTATGCTTGTACACAATTTAATAACACCCACTTAACAATAATTAAGTCAAGCAACAAATATTGACAATACGCAATCCCAGCACGTCCGTCTAGCTCTGGTGTCGCCGCAAGAGAGCCCTGATCGCGTTCGCACGTCCCACCTCTCCAATCCTTCCCTCACTCCAAGCGGCAAGTGACGTCATTAAGCCACGCCCAATAAAAATAAGTGTTGCCAATTATTTCCACTTATTATACTGTATATATGTCTGTAGTGTTTTATATATGTATATAAGTGTATAGTGTACTTATATTTAGTGTGTATATCATCATCATCATCTGCCTACCCTTATCCCAATTTTTCGAGATATAATGGCCTTATTAAACATCTAAAGCTTCAGTTGCATAGCTTTAATACTTTCATCATTATCATCAGCTTATCGCAGTCCACATAGGCCTCTCTCATTGCACGCCACTTACTTACTTTCGATTTTATTGATATCTATACCCTGATTTCGTCACTAACTCACTGATGACCATCAAAATTACTAGGGTACTTCATGAACTCCTAGAAATCTGAAATTTTGGTATGTAAGCTAGTATTAGTACACAAATACAAATAAAGGAAAGCCTCAGTGAAGATCTCATATAAACTTCTGACTCTACATGCCTTAACTGTACAAGCCCTAACTTCACAAACTCTATATCTTAGTTAAAATATGTGGCTCGGCGGTTTTTTTCCTAAAAAATCAAAATTGTTTGAAATCGTCTTTTATTTTACGGTTTCGCCACCGTTTCATAGGAGTAAGGTGAAAACTGTATTCACTATCAATTACTTTTCTGTGATACAAAAGTTCTTGTAGTAACAAAGCGGCCAAGTCACATGTTTTGACTAAGGTACAGTCGTCACAAAATAAGAAGCCCGTTTTGACATTTGTCATGGTGGCGTAACTAGTGATTAACCATACGACTCGGTGCACGATACTTACGATAAATCGATTGAAGCTTGTAGAGTATTCGATTGATTTGACTATATATCAAAAAGAGCATTGAATTTAAGTTATAATTAGAACATATAACTTAAACTTTAATGTTATAGGCATTTTGAAATGATACAATAAAAAGAAATGTCAATTTGTCTTTAATTTAAAAATTTAGCTCAATCACAACAAAATCAAGAAAAGTGAAATCAATCATTTTCTTCTGATGACGAGCCAGATGAGCTATCGTCGCCTGTATATATAATTATTTCATTTTCTATAATATTATCAATATTGACGTCTCTGTCATAATCTTCCTTTATTATTTTTCGCGTCTTTTCTACCACTTCTGCCCAATCTTCTTTAGTTATTTTATCACAAGCTTCTTTTAACAATGTCATCATATTCTTAGTGGAGAATGGTGGCTTTGTATTATGACGTGCTGCGTATCCTTTGACCTGAGCCCAGATTAATTCAATAGCATTGTACTGACAATGGTACGGCGGCGTTCTTATCAATTTGTGACCATGTTGAAGTGAATTTTATATCTTAATTTTGCAGGTTTATTTTGTTTTACTAATTCCAGCAGTTCAGCTTTCAATAAATTCATGTCAGTTTCTACGCCTTTTCTTGGTAACCGCGCCACTAAATCTGCCTTTTTGCTCGCTTGAGTAGGTGCCTTATCTATTTGAACTGAATGGTAAGGTGCATTATCCATAATTATTGTGCACTGTTCGGGGAGGTTTATTAACAACTTAGTAAACCACTCTAAGAATTTATTTGCATCCATTTCTTCGTGGCATTCTTTTGTACTTCTGGACTCGAATGCGAGTAGAGCATCATGCACAAAACCTCCCCCGGCTGATCCGGCATGGCAGATTATTAGGCGTCCACCCTTACCCATTGGCACTTTTGAACAAGATGCTTTGGTATCATCCGTCCATGACTGTGGCACGGTATGATTCGAGTTCAGCCAAGTTTCATCGATAAATATGACATTATCCCAATTTGTAATTTTGTTCATTTGCCTCAAGAATGATACTCTGTGTAAAATTATATCATATCGTTCCATCATAATTTTCCTCTTGTCGGTTTTCTTGTACTTGAAACCAATTTGCTTCATAATTGTTATTAAAGATGTTGCACTGCCACTAAACAGGCCAGCCTCTCTTAGTGATACCACCAACTTACTTACAGTTCCGTACTCACTTCTCGTGTAATAAGTATATACGTGGTTTCGAATAGCATCTGCGTCAAATGTGTCAATACCTGTTACAGGCTTGCTTTTCTTCCTCTTCTTAGGCGTATATAACACATTTTCTTGAGTACCGGAAGACCCATACTTTCCCTTCAAAATGGTTCGAATAGTTTTTTTGCCGATTCCAAGTGCTTCTGCTACGCGATCTTGCACTTGAGTTACGGGTAATAATGGTCCACCATTAACTGATTCGCGTTCGAAGTATTCGGTTAACTTCACAACCAATTCGCGTGATTGGCTGTTGACTGTACGTCCTCTTTTCGACATGTTGAAACAGAGTTTGTACAATATAACAACAAACACCAAAATCGGGTCCAAATCGCTATGTCTAATCAATGTCCGGAATAGAAGAGCCAAGGACAACGTGATAGTAAATAAAAACAGTCCAAAAGCAAAGCCGAGTCTAGAAAAAATATCAAACATAAACGAGCGCACAGTCAACTTCACAAGATGTCGAACGATAGACTGCGCAGTACGCGGTACGCGCATGGATCACGTGCCGCTTGGTCATAGACAAACCATTCTATAGGTACATAGAGAAAGGAAACAAATTATGTACGGCTTTGATAATTCTTTTATAGACTGACTTTTAAGGACTGTTGTCAAAGGTGACTGTTGCAAAATGAGACATGACGTTTGAGACAGAAAAATGAGGATGAATTATTTTTTTCAATATCATGATGAAATGATTTGGTTAAAAAACCCGTTAATATAATATCAAAATATTCATATTAAATAATACACTAATTACACATTTATCTCTTTTTTTAATGTAATTTTTGTAAACGATTTTCAGAAACTCTATTTTATTCGGCCATAAAACGGCTTTTTAACGGTTACAACACTACGGCAACCAACCCAAAGGCATGACATTGTAGTAAAGTCCTGTCAGAATATTAATCAACGATTAATTCGTGTTTTTGAGTGCATTTTTTCAATATAAAGTTAAACTTGATGCTTATTTATGATACGCGTTGTGATAGTGTATGGGTAACATAGCAATTAAATAGGATTATGAATTTGATTTTTCACTTTCTTACATAGACGTTCATACAAAGTTATTGCGGCATGTCAAATGAGAAACGTCTTCTTTTTTTGTAACGACTTTAGAGTTTTTGAAGTTAGGGCGTGTAGAGTTAGAAGTTAAAAGTACATGAGATCTAAAAACTTTTATACAGTGCGGGCCATAATTATGGTCTCGTCTATGCAAAATTTTACATGAAAATGTTTTTGGTGGGATTTATCATAAATGAGATTTTTATATAGTATGGAGCTGTTTTCGCCTTCCTTTTCCAGTATTTTTATATATATATATATTATGCTTTTGGTTGCAGATCGAACCAAATTGTATGTTATGTCATAAATTAATATAAATATTTTAAAATGCGTTTTTAATATCTATATGCATTTGATACAGTAAATAAATAAAACTAATACTATTTTAATTTTTTTTCAAAATTACTGTCCTCCCTAGGGCCGGTTTCTGTCGGTCTCCTTTATATAATAATTCTTCTGGGTTTCAGGCTCATTACTTGATCAGTGCAATATCTGTGCTGTGGGACATCCAAACTGTACTTACTGTCAAAATAAATATGAAACAAGTCTATTCAAGTCACAGATCTAAGGAGTATTATTTCTAACACATATTTTTGGCGGCGCCTGCGTCTGTTGCAATATAAGACAAAGAGATTTTGGTTTGGCTGTCTGTATAGCTCCTAATAACAAGCTATTGTCAGATAGTATCTTAATGGTGGCTATCACTGATAATGTATCTATCTTTCAACTACTGAGATATGATACTATATCGACCTTCTAACCGGTACATATAAGATGATCAGTTCGCCATACTCATAAATAGAAGTAAACAGGAGTGCAATGAGTGGTAGAAATAGCAATAGCGGGCTTCTTGAGCCAACCGAGGACAAAAGGAAAGGCGGGGTGCCGGTGAAGCCGCTGGAACTTGACGATGTACTGACCAACGAACTCGGCCAGTTCGGCCGCTATCAGCTAATCAACATCCTCATGGTCTCTTTTCCAATCATTACGTGTGCTTTTACACAGGAGTACATCTTCTCTGCAGCAGCTATTGCACACAGGTATACCTCTTAACCTATTTCTTTGTACAGGTTAGCATTAAGAGTGTAAACAGTATCAACGATAGTATGATGGTATCTATACACGTGTTAGTATGTTAATTTCTCGTTCTATTTCTGTAATTAAAACTAGTTACAGTTTCAACGTGATACGCGAACAAGATGTGTAATAAATAAATAAATAAAAAAAATATTTTCGTAAGGTAATTGTAGTACATAGATACAGAAATTAATGAAGATAGTCTATACAATCAGTGGTTAAAGCGCTGACGGAAATGTAGACAGACAGCATTCTGTTCGTTTTGTCTAAACAAATTGGAAAAAAAACAGCTTTAGTATCGATTGTTTCACAAAAAAACCCAGAACATCTTTAGTTTACATACTATATACTATACCTATTACAATTTTATCATGAGTATAGATTTCTGTAAATAATTTTAACTACTATTTTAGTGAAAGAAATCGTTATGAACTAAATATTAAAATTTAATAAAATGGACAATTGGGACGTTGGCCATTCGCGACCAACTACTTCATAAGCAATACGTTTTCTTTAACTATTTGAAGTAAATGTGTTTGAGCATATTGTGAATATGAATAATCCTAACATCGCACCTTTAATAATAAACTGAATTAATTCAAAATTTACGTTTTTCGAGTTTTCAACAAATACCAAATCAACTTCATCAGTAGAACACGAACAATCCAACAGCCGACTCGATACCATGAAAATGGCAGAGATAAGAGATCGTCGTTCTCTTGTTGACAAACTCGCACGTACATGAATGTCAAACTTTAAATGCGATTTCCCACAATATTGAAATTCTAAGTTAATTCAGTTTATGAATAAAGGTGCGACATATGAATTACATTCTTATAATGTGTACAATAAGGTTTTATTTAGTTCATCATCATCAGCCTATCGCAGTCCACTGCTGGATATAGGCCTCTCCCTCTCTTTTATTTGTTTAAATAACATTAAATGTATTTTATTTTAATTAATATGTTTTTTGGTTGTTTTTAGTTATTGTTGTGTTGAACAACTCACAAAACTCTAAAACTCACTTTGGAGTTTTGTGAGTTGTTCGACCATGGCATTTGTAAAAAACTATATTGTGCATAATAACTGTGGTATTTTTCAGGTGTCGTATTACAGAGTGTGGTGAAGACAGTAAAAGTAACTTATTCGACCCTGGGTGGATTCTCAATGCCATCCCGCCGGCGAACAGTAACTCTGGCTTTTCGAGCTGTAGCCGCTTTCAGTCCCAAGGTAACGGGACCCTGGATTACTGTCCCGCCGACTTGTTCACAACTACTACTACAGATTGCAATGAACAGTATGTTTACGCCAGGGACAATTCTGTTGTTTATGATGTAGGTCTATTTTGCCGAATCCAATGTTTAGCATATATTCATTCATCCCACACACATTATATAGATAGATAGTGACTCATTTCCTTGAACAGAGGCGTATTAAACGCCATAAGTTCGCACACAACGCGTACAACTTTACTCTCACTTACGTAAGAGAGGGCAAGCTCATTGCCGACAACTGGGTGCAAATATTTCTAAATAAATATCCATATTAATATTATAAAAGCGAAAGTGTGTCTGTCTGTATGTCTATCTGTCTGTCTGTTACCTCTTCACACTTAAACCGCTGAACCGATTTAGATGAAATGTGGTATAGAAATAGGGTAAGGACAAAGGATAGATTTTATCCCAGAAATAATCATTTAAGGAGTTAAAAATCGGGGTAGAAGTTTGTATGGGGAATCAATAACCGCTAAAAAAACCGCTCTTGATTACGGACAAAGGCTAATTTTTATGCCGTCGGGGTGGTTTTTAGTAGAAACACCACATTCTCCTGGCTCCTACATCCCCAAGGAGCCGGAGATCCGAAGGTATTTTTCACCACGTCAGCAAAAAAAAGGTTAAAGTTTATCGCAATAACCGACATACACGCAGAATAAAAGTTCGTGCTCGTTACAATAAGAATTAAGTGTTGGCATATTATACAAGGTGTCTCAAAAGAAAGTTTATATTTAGTAGATCGATTAAAAAAAAAGTAAGCAGTGTATCGAAAAAATGTTTATTAATTATTAAAGTACACAATTTGGGAATTTTGTTCTTAAAAATAATATCGTCCAAATGTAGACCCTCGCGTTCGCGGCACTCATTTAATCGAACAGTAAAATTACTTATCACGGCTCGGCAGGTGAACTCAGTGATGGCTGCCATTTCGTGACGGATATTTTCTTTCAAATGCGCCAGGGAAGTCGGTTTATTCGCGTAAACTTTAGATTTAAGACAACCCCATAGGAAAAAGTCCATAGGGGTTAAATCAGGACTGCGTGGAGGCCAATTTATGTCACCTCTAATGGAGATCAATTTTCTCGTGGCAGAGACGTATTGGACGTGTGTGACGTTGCTCCGTCCTGCTGGAACCATGTTCTTTGGTTATATCCAGGAAAGTTTTGCAGTTCAGGCGCCAAGAAGTCGTCTAACATCTCCACATAACGCTCTGAATTCACTGTAACTGCACGCCCCCTTTCGTCTTCAAAAAAGTAAGGGGCGATAATTCCTCGCGCCGACATCGCAGCCCATACGGTCACTTTAGGCGAATGAAGGAGTTTCTGATGTTTGCGTTTGGATTCATTGCACTCCAGTAGCGTGAAACATGAAAATGAGCTTCATCCGAAAACAAGATGTTGGTAAACGTTGAAAAGCGCTCAATCGCCTGATTTACGAAGTCAAGCCTCTGACTGGCATCTTGGGGCTTTAATTCTTGCACCAATTGAATTTTGTAGGGGTGCAGCTTTAGGTCTTTGTGCAAAATGCGGTGTAATGATGATCTATGCACATTTAAAGCACTTGCGCGCTTCCGAATTGAAAGGTTCGGGTCGTCACGAACAGACGGATTAACACTCTCCACGTTTTCTACCGTTCGTGATGACCTTGGTCGCCCGGATTTTGGTTTTTCCAGCTTTGTACCGGTCTCTTCAAACTTTTTGACCCATTTTCGAATAAGAGGAATGCTTGGCCCATCATTTAAATGGCGAAAGCCTCGAACACTACAGAACCTTCTACGCGCTACAGTCGCCGAATCACCGTTTTTGTAAAACTCTCGCACGCACAACGTACGGTCTGCTCCCGAGAAACGCTCCATAGCGACTGAATTCCCAAGAGCCAGGCTACCGATTGACATAACCCCCGCGCCCCTCGGACTCGTTGCGTTCACGCAGTAAGCTAAATAAATATAAACTTTCTTTTGAGACACCTTGTACTATTTTATAACGAATATATTAATGCAGTCTACGTAAGTAATAGTTTTATTAAAATGTTGTTCAAGTGTTGCCCAACTACGGTACTTAAGGGGGTGGAAGGGTGACATGGTGTGGAAGCATAGAAGGGGTCGGAAGTTTTGCATGACCTTCAATTTTAATTTAAACTTTTTGTATTTTTCTACTAAGAATGGAGCTCAATCCAAGCTCTTAAGAACAACTAACATTAATGTTTACGTTACGTTACCTACAGTTTTCTATAGATATAATATCAAACCATGATTCTTCGTCATAAATCTTAACTATATCTTCTTCTTTCTTTCTTCTTTAGAGTCTTGACACATATTCTCCTGAGCTCTATTTAAATAGTAAAATAAACTAAAGGTACGTTTACATACATGTGTAAGTTCATAGTATTTTTTTTGTAGAACACGAATTTTCGTTTTCAGTTTAACCTTGGCTGTAAAGATTGGCTGCGTGCCTTACCAGGAACTCTGAGCAATATCGGTAATCTGTTATCGCTGCCCATTACCGGCTACTTTTCGGACAGATTCGGGAGACGGTTCAGTCTTGTCATCAACGCATTCAACTTGGGACTGATCGGGTTAATAAGAGCTTTTTCAATGAATTATCCAATGTATTTGGCGCTACACGTTCTACAGACCACGCTTGGCGGTGGAACATATAGCACCGTGTATATTTTTGGTAAGCATGTATGGTGGTGTTTAATTTCTATTCCAAATTCAATAGCACCGAAGTTATGGTGTTAATTTCTAAACTTGCCTCATTTCAGCCACTGAATTTGTGGGTCCTCGTTACCGCGTGGCTACAAGTGCATATTGTTCGTCAATGTTCGCTCTCGGCCAGGTGGTGGTCGGTGCAGTTGCCTGGGTCATTCAGCCCTGGCGATACATGCTCATAGCTCTGCATATACCTTGCTTCCTTGTCGTATCGTATTACTGGCTTCTCTCAGACAGTGTACGATGGCAGCTTTCCAAGGGCAAGTTTGCTGAGGCTAAGGCATCGCTGGAAACGGTCGCTAGAGTTAATAAAAAACAAATTAGTGAGAAATCAATGAATGCGCTGCTGAATCCACCAACTCCTCCACCGAATACTGTAAGTTTGATTTAACTCGCTATAACATTTACACAACACACCGATTGTTTTCACTCAATTGTATACCAAATGGTATTAACTACCGTACAAAAACTATTGTAACAATTAAATAATAATAACTAATATTATGGCAAAATATAATTGAATCTATGCAATAGGTGTGTTATGTCAAATTAATCTATGCCATGCGGATAGACCAAAAATCGGTCTACCTAATAAATTATGTAATGAGGGGATCGAATAGAGCAAGTATACTCTAGCATGCTACGTACGTAATCAAAATAAACAAATTTTAGAGACTCTTTAGTTTTGTAGTGCTCAGAAAACGATAGTGTACTCGTGATGTACGATTGTAATTCCAAAATCACGTACAGCAGCAACTCTTTATTTGTGCGCCATTAAAATATTATATATAGTAGAAAGGTTGGTTGTTATGACTGAAAGTGACATTGGCATTTATTAATACTATTTACGTAAATTTTATTCTTATTGTAATTGCGTTCCTATGGCATCAGTAATATCATATAAATACGCGTTATATAACAGCGGTCCTAAACGCGAGCTTTGTGGCACACCACTGGGGATTCCACAAAAACTGGAACGGTACCCTCCCATCACTGCTGCTTAAGACCTTTTGGTCGGGTAAGACTGAATCCACCTCAACAGATCACTGAGTATCCCAAGTCTGCATTACTTGTTAAGCAAGATGACATGATCCACCCGGTCAAATGCCTCTTTGAGATCCATGTACATCACGTCAACCTGCCTCCATTATCCACATTCTTAAAGCCCTAATTCGGTAAACAGGCAAGTTTTAAGACTAGAATGGTTTTTTACCAATTCGTGCCGTGAATTTGGGATCCCAGCGAGTATCTGGAGATACATAATATTATATACGAGTTTTTCGAATACTTTACCCACAGTGTTAACCACAGTGTTACAAAGAGAGTGCACGTTGTTCCAATTCAAAAAAAAAATTACAGAGGTATTATTGAGATACCTCTGTAATTTTTATATCTTAAATCTTGACCCCTTTTTTTTGAATTGGAACAACGTGCACTCTCTCTATTTTCTAAAACTGGAAAGACTCCTGACAACAAGCGATTATTTATAGAAAATTGAAATAGGAGGCGCTAAAGATTTGACACTAAAACTGTGCCAAATCTTCATCTACTTTTATGCAAATTTTAGACCTTTCTGAGGTATCAAGCTGGTGAGCCACACCAATATTATATATAATATTTCTGCCGTTTGTCATATCATCTTGGTTTGAGAGCACTTCCTTAATTGCCACAGACAACATCGCAAATCTGTAGGTGTAGACATATTGTGGAAAGTTCAATTTCGAGAACACTTAGAGGGTAAGGTCAAATTAGCCTCGAATAAGCTTGGTGTGCTGAACAGATCAATTCAGCCGATTCGATCCGATCCGAGCGAACAACTTTTTAGGGATTGGGTGCACTAAAGCTAGGAATCGGCAAGTCGAGTTGGACGCAAAGAGTTTGCTTAGAAGATCCGCTTTTTCCGTCTAGTCCGCTAGTGTACCGAGGTTAGTTTCTCTAAAGAGCCTTGGTAAGAAACCGAATTGCAGGACAAAGTATCATTGTTTTTTGATGAACTAGTCTTTAAATCACCTACCTTCGATGCATTTGCATGATAACTATCCTGCTTTCAGTAGCACGTTGTTTTGCAGATAGATTTGCCACCTATGCGATTAATAAGGATGAAATCAAAAGTTCCGTACTGGTGACCGAATTGCTAACAACCTTGGAATCATCATAAAACCAATCTGCTTGCCTCTAGAATGCAGTGAAAGATCTCATCCAATCCCAGTATGTTGATCTATAGTGCCACACACGGTAGCAATCGCGGCAAGCATCGCGCCCAGTCGGTGAAATCCGAAGAAAGAATTGCTTAACGCTGGTTTTTCTGTGAGGCCACATGGTATCGCACCGTTAAGCGGCATCATGTGTGCTCACCCACGTTCAGAAATAAAGTATGGAATAAGGAAAAACAAACTTGAATTTTAGTTAAATAAAAATTATATGTACATAAACTACATACAAAATTCATAAAAATTAAAGAGTAGACACGTACATAGAAAAAAAGTATAGCGCAGAGAAGCAAAGCGAGAAATAGAAACTTAGAACGAAAATATCAGATACGCCTTATACGTTAATAAAAGTCTGTATCAACTCGTGATTGGTAAGGCTTCTGAATACAATAGGGCCTCATACACTGAAGCGCATACTGTGTAAACGCAGAAGCCATAATTAATTTGTATTTTTAGTGACAAGGTTTGTTTGATAATTCCACATTTATTTTGTCTTCAGGAGGGCGGAGATAAAGTCAACCTAATCAAAGCTGTTTTTAAGTCACGGGTGTTATTAGGCCGAGTGTGCACCACCCCTATCTGGTGGGTGACTATAACGTTTGTCTACTATGGATTATCCATCAATTCAGTTGGCCTTTCCGACACCGTCTACTTAAACTACATCTTCACCGCTGCAGTTGAGATCCCTGGATTTGTGACAGCTTCATTCATGTTGGGCAAGATTGGCAGAAAACCTACTCTTACAGGGGGATATTTCTTTAGTGCTGCCTGTAACATTGCCTTTATATTTATACCTCAAGGTAAGTTTTTCATCCCAACACCTATATGCAATTTTAACATGGTTTTATTGGCTTTACTTGTAACTATGTAGGCAAACCTTGGAATTTCATTGTTAATGTCCCATCTATAAAGTAAACTTCGTATGTTTATATAGTTTGGATGGTAATAGTAGAAGCTCTGTTGGTAAAACGGACTATTGTGATTCGGATTGTGATTACCGCAAACCATACCTTTCTAGCGATTACAATAATCACTTTGTTCGCTCAATCGTTGAAAAACAGGGTTGAGGCGTATGATGATAGCTAAACATCGCCACATCGTAGTTTGTACAACTATATAAGCGTTGTACTTAATATGCGTATATTTTTCTAGATTTATCTACACTTCGCCTAGTGCTCTTCCTACTTGGAAAATTTGGTATTTCGATGGTGGTGACTTCTTTGTACCTGTTCACGACAGAACTGTACCCCACTCAGTACCGGCACAGCCTTCTCGGCTTTTCCTCAATGGTGGGACGTATCGGTGCTATAACAGCTCCCCTCACTCCTGTGTTGGTAAGTTAGGGTATATCTACACATTTTCAACACTCTAAAATGATTACACATAAGATTTATAACCATAACACATTATTAAATTACTACACCATATTATTAAAGTATAACACTGAAGCAGAACATTTTGATGTTGTCGGTTTCAACGTAAAATTTGAATGATATTTATGGTTATGGATCGTGTGTTCTCTTGATGAAGGTATGGTCTATGGTCTTGTGTGAACCTACTTACGACGACGTTGGTTTCCAACTGTTCTAGGCGGTGTACTGGCACGGAATACCCTCAGCGATGTTCGCAGGTATGGCTATACTCTCGGGTATTCTAGTCCTCACCCAGCCCGAGACTCTTGGGACCAAATTGCCAGACACCCTGGAAGAAGCCGAAGCTATCGGATCGCCAGAGTCCATGAGAGACCACAAGTCATAATAGCAAGCAATCATTACATTATAATATCTAGGGATCATTCGCAGTACTTTTCCAAGCGAGTTCAGACGAGTATTGTTCAAAGTGTGTTAAGCGTGAACAAACTGCTCTTACCAAAAGTTCATACATTTGAAAATAATATTCAATATTGATGATGAAAGTTTAGAATGTATGTATCCATCTTGTTCAAGTTATTGTTTGCTTTCTCCCTTGTTGTGCTCCTGCTATCGATCGCAGATATTTCAATTTAATTGATTCAAGTGAAACATCTTTAGCATCGTTGTGATTTGAAATTCGATGAAACGAAAATACGTCCCGATAAAGAAACAAACACATAAATGTATAGAATTAAGTCGGCGAGAGACTGAGATAGAATACATTACACATTATTTTTAATATAATATTTTGACAGTATAAATTTATCGTTTTATTTAATTCTAGCTGGTACCCGCGACTACGTTTGAATTTGAAAAACGATGCCTTAGGGTTCGATTCTAGGGCCGAACAAAATTTCATAGGACTTTTCTTAAAAAAAAATTTTTTCGGAAGTTTCACTGTGTGAGTTGCTCAAAAGCACTTTTTTTATTTTGTTAACATAGGTTAATGGTATGACGCAATTTACATAAAAATAGCAGGTACTTATTAAGTTACAGCAGGTACTTGCTAAGTTACAAGTTACGGTACATTAGGTTAGGTTATCACTTATCATGCAGTGGTAGAGGGTAGTACAGACTAAGAACATGAATTTTGAAATTTCAAAATTAGGAACTCATGGTCGATGTTATGTTATTAGTTATATAAATTCATGTTCCTAGACTGTACTACCCTACACCACCACAATTTATAAAATTGTGTAAAATTATATTACAGAAGACAGCAGATGATTTGAATTTGAGAAGTCTCGTTTTGCCTGAGTTAAAAGTTTATTGGTTTTATTTTATATTTGGAGAGCTTACTGCTAAATTCACTAAATAAATTTGATGTTAATTTTCTAAGTTCCATTTATAAGTTTCCACATGTAGAAAGAAGACAGTGCTGATATCTAAAATAATACATACTAAATAGACTAAAATATACATGGATTATTACAAAAATGTATAATCTTAAGATAAACAAGAATAGATCGACGAGATCATTATGATTTAGTCTATTAAATGACCTGAAAACTCTTGGTGGGTAGCTATTATACCGATACTTACTGTGGCAAAATGGAACGTGGAGAAGATTACTGAAACGCAAAGGATATCAGGACAGTCGAACTTGCTTGCTATTGATATATATAATAGATTTCTACTATTTTCTATGCAAACAAAGACGCAAAAGATGAAGTTTGCATTGCTGTTCATAATCAAGATGCGGTAGTTGAATTTAAAATCTGAATATCTGATAAACCGCTTTTGAATTTTCTCTATGTTATTTTGTTAGAAATTATAGCAGGGCTTCCGAATTTGTTTTGAAAACTCGAGATGGCTGCGTAAGTGGCGTTATGGAGGATGGACTCGACAGGAACACGGGACCCTCTGAGATTGGCTGACGCAAGGATCCTTTGGAGGTCACCTGTGTCTGATTCGCAAGGAGCCAACGTCCGGGTGCTGCCACTACGATCCGTCCATCATAAGCGCCGGGCCTGGAGGTAACAGGTGACAGGGTCACGAGACTATCTGTAAGCCGTACATGACTCGGAGCCCGTCGGGGTATCAGGGATTTAGTTTCCAGGTTACACTTAGTTGCCCGGTTGCTGAACGAGGCGGCGCGTCGTGCGGTGTTAGAGCCGGCGTTGTGTAACGTTGCGGCAAAGGCACCGTGGCGGCCATCGGAGTGGGAGTTCTCTCGCTCGATAGCCTGATTGCGGCTATCGTGCGGAGCGAGAGTGCGTGGAACTCTGCCGTCTCCTTCTGCGAGCAAGTTATGCTCGCGAAGGAGACGGCGGAGCGGGACCGGGAGAGGTTTAGAACTCTCCCGTCCCGCCAGGCCCGGGCACGGGCCAGGCAGCGCAGGCGACTCAGGCGCCGGAGGTCGCAGAACGACCTTCGTCCTCCATAAGCGCAGGCCTGGGGGTGACAGGTGAGGCCATCTGTCACCCTAGCAGAAGCAGGCCGGGGTGGCGGCGAGCGCGTTGCGAAGCGCGCTCGCTTCCAGGGAGCACAGGGAACATGGGGTTCCCACACGGGGCGGGAGTCGTCTACTCGTCTGTAGATGACCCGAGGTATGTCGGGGCACCAGGGCCTTCCTTTCTAGGGTATACCTGGTTCCCCGGCTATTAGTACCCGGCGAAGGCGTGCGGTTTTAGTCGGTTCGAGTCCGACATGCCACCGAGAGGTGGTATCCGAGGGGATTTCCGCACGGAAAAAAAAAAAAAAAAAAAAAAAAGGGTGTTGTATCTGCGCAGACGAAACTGATTGACTGTCTCCCGCCCTTGACCCCAAGGGAGGGGGCTATACTCCTGCGTCCTATGTAACGGTGGCATGATAATCTGTAGAATTAAACGGCATGCCACAACATGCCGCGGTATAATTGATCCGAAATTAAGTAATATGATTTCTAAACTCATTGAAATAAGGATAAAAGTAACTTGATCGGGAATGGAATTCATTACCACCCCATTAGCTGTCCTTTTGGGGATATCCGAAGGGCTATTTCGGCACGGAAAAAAGGGCGGCTTTATCGGTATTCCACGAACAGCTAGCGGCGACCCTGCTCTGCCTTAGTGGTGTAGCACTATACGTGAGGCCTCGGGTTCGATTCTCGGATCAAGCAAAATTCTATAGGGTTTTTCTGAGAGGATAATCCCTTTTTTTAAGTTGTACCGACTTCTTATAATACTGACAAAGACCACTAAAAACCTAGCAGCAATCGCGGTTGATTTGCTGTTAATTTTTGAAAAGTTCTGTTGTCTGTCTCCAAAATCATCATCAGATCTATATGAAATTTAAATGGGACCATTTCGGAATAAACTCCTTTCGAACAAAAAAAAATTTTGAAAATCCTTAGATTAGAAGCTTCTTTGAATCCACAGTTAAGTATTGGATTTTTATTTAAATATTCTACGGTACAAAAAATTTGAAAGATTGGATGAAAGTAAATTAAATAGAAAAAGAAACAAACGGAAGAAGAAGTAGTAAGATATATTTACAATTGTTATAATTCACATCCTTTCATCACATGCCTCATAGAGCTTTTTTTTCTCTTGTGTAGGCGCGTATGTATTTTTCTATGATGATGAATGTATTTCCAAAAAAATAATATTAGTATTTTATCGGTCAATCTTGCTTTCATAGCATCTAGCATTACTCTCAACCGCTTAGAATGAAGATTAAATCAAATTATGAACAAAATGTTACTAGGGTCCAATCTGGATCTAACACCAATAATATCTAGGCAACGTTTAGTTTATATTCCCCTCATCAGTGAACTGATTCCTAAAATTCTTTTTTGTATAAAGAGGTATACTTTAGTAGTGATTACCTACCCATATTGGCGCCAAGTCCAGTTGTTGGTTTAATGAATTTTTGTCTTAGAAAATTCAATTCATACAAATTCCACCTGTGCGAATAGACCCCCAAGAAATATTTAATTTTCAAAAAATCGTTGGTTCAAAGAGCGGTAAGCGATTTATTTACTGAATCGCTATCTTTTTATATTTATTATCACACAAAGTAAGAGTACTTATAAAGTACATACACATAAATGTTATCATTTACACGAGTACGTACTACATAAGTATAAAAAATGTGTGTGTTTATGTGTGGTATCGATACACCGAGATTTTTTCAAGTTCGTATGATTATTGTCGGTGCTATACCAAACCCAAAATACCCGTTCTGTTATTATTTTCTGTTATTTCCGTTGTCTGTCTGTTTGTCTTACTGGACGTCCATGCTAATATCCAAGACAGACAAGGCAAGATGGCGATATAATTATATTTAATTGAATTTTAAAATGCCTGACGTTTCGAACAGGTTGCACTGACCGTGGTTTATGTACTTAATACATATCGTCAGCACGGGGATTAACCCCGCAAATATAATTATATGGGTGGTAAAATTTTGCTAATTTTTTACAAGATTATGATTTTTGTTTTTATACGATTTGTAGGTATCACTGACAGATACAAATCTTTGTAAAGCATATTGTACGCTACTGTCAAAATATGTAGAGCTCCCACGTTAATGCAGTGGCAAATTGAGAAAATTCAATGCATTTTTTTTACTTGTCTTAAATTAATGTATGTTTCAACTTTGTACATAATTCAAAATAGTTACAAACATAAAAATATTATAGTACTATAGCTTTATAGATCTGGCAGGGAGAAATAGCGCTACAAAGACTAACAAATAATTTAAAAAACAGCCAAGTGCGTGTCGAGGCACGACCAGTGCAGGGTTTCGTAGTTATTTCACATTATTAACATTTCACATTCAACGGTTTCGGCGGCCTATACTCGTGACGTTGAATTAATTGGTTGACTATTAATTGTGAACTAATAAAGCATACTTAGCTGTGATAGTTTTTCTTTTAAATTCGTTACGTATATATGCTACTAGCGTGCATTTTTTCAGATCTTCAAATACTGCGCTTAACTAGGAGGTGGGGGGAGGGGTTTATAAGTGCAGTCATAAGGCTAAATATCTCACAAACCGACACCTTGAGCAAAACATTGTATTCACAAACTCTTTTTTTTAAAAGACCTATTAAATGACATCCTACACCATGGGATCGATGAATGTTAAAATGCGTCGGCCTGATTAGTGCCTATGTAATTTCGCATGAAAATTATGGACATGGATTGACATTTACATTTTGGTATTACAATAGGCGGTCTTATCGCTCACGGTGATCTCTTACAGACAACCTTTACACGGATATTGTTTAATATGATTTAGGGTAGTCTATGGTTTACTTTACAATACTTTAGATAATTAATATATATAAAAATAAACATACTAAATACGCTTACAATATACATACTACTGACACATATAAATAATAAATACATACAAAGGTTATAAACCAAGTATTAACAAACAATCAATGTCCCTTCAACAGCCCTTACAATGTCAAGTAGTCATTTGTGACTAGTTTTTTGAATAATTGCAACGATTTAGCTTTTCGGAGTGCCTCGGGTAAGTTGTTCCACAGTCTAGTGACAAATCGAATTGTGTGGTATGCTTGGGCATACAGACAACTTCAGATTATCTGATGATCTCACGAGCCTGCAATGTATCATGTCTAAATAAATCTCGTTTGAAACATATATAAAAACTTGTTAAATAAAATAAATACACGCTTTGTTGATAATATTTCGATAAAACATATTTATCACAATTAAGATATACTCGCAGTACATAATTTATTATGTGACGGTCAAAAGTGTCGAATAAAGTATGAAGTAGGTAATGTACATGTACGTTATTGTAATTGTACGATAACGTTACTTTCAATTATTATTTCCATCATAAAAAAATAATTTTGTGTATCCTACTTACCTAAAGCTTTTGACAACCTAGTCAAGTCTTTTTGGGTTATTGAAAATGTAAATTATGAAAGATTAGAAATGTTGAGATTGGAATTCGAGAACCTGGATGCCTATGCATTTGTATCTGTAGTTGTCAATATAATTTGAAGATATGCAAACAATTTGTTTTAGTAATTTAGAATGAATGATATTTTTCTGCTGCGAAAAGCAATGCAAAATTTAGGTATGCTACAGGGTACGCCGTTGGGACCTTTTTTTTAGGGATGCAACTAGTTTGGGACCCGATTTGAAAATAGCTAAAATACACTAGTCTAGCTATTTCTACGTAGGTTAATTGACGAATTATATGTATAAACTGCATACCTATGCTGCAGAGCTGAGTGTATCCTACAATCCAATCATCCCAAAATCTTATTGGTGTCCACAACATCAAACTCCTTTTCATATATCAGAATACTGATTTTTAAACATTAAATGGAGAAAAAAAAACTTTATTTAAAAGTAAATTGTTAACATTGAATCAGTTCACGACCTGTGTCATCCGCAAAAAGCGCTATCTCCTGATTATCTTTTATCAGATTAGGTAGGTCATTTATATAAACTAACACCATTCACCATATTAGAGTGGTTTAACAAATGATTGTATCACGCAAAACAAATAAGACGGACCGACAAACCAAGATAAAAAACCGGCCAAGTGCGAGTGCGACTATCTATTTATTTTGTAAGTAAATATATAACTAAATATTCTGTAAATATATTTCAAGCGTCTACCTGTTGCCGTTATCAATATCGAGCAAATACGAAAAATTGTTGTATGGGAATCCCTTAAATATTTATCTTATTCTGTTTTTAGTATTTGTTGTTGTAGCAGTAAGAGAAATACTTCATCTGTGAAAATTATCTAAATTTAAACTGTCGAATTATCACGGTTCATAAGAAAGCCTGGTGACAGACGGACAGACGAACGGACGGACAGCGGAGTCTTAGTCATAGGGTCCCGTTTTACCCTTTGGGTACAGAGCCCTAAAAACTATACTTACAAAGTATAGTTTTTAGGGCTCTGTACCCAAAGGTTGTACTGTTAATTTCGTTTATTGTAATTTTTGTTTATTTTTGTGAAAACTTCTCAACACTATTTATTTACTACCTGTGCTCGTTATTGTGTATGAGTAGACCACCAAACATTGCACTTATCAAATAAGTCCTAAAATTAAAAAAACACCGTTGACTTCTTGTTACCCTTTAAAACATCGGTAGTACCTAAATTTACACAATTATAATTTATAAAAAACAAACAAAAACGCAGATAAACAAATAGTCGTAAAAAAGGTTTAGGTTTCCATAGCTCTTATAAAAACTCATTGTACTATTTTTGCTTAGTTATCTTTAACATACATAAGTAGAAAGGAAAAAAGAAAGAAAGAAAGAAAATAAGTTTATTAGTTACAACACACACAAAACAAAAAAAAAAGAAATAGAGATACCTCACGGACGTGTGCACAGCACATAATTACTATAAACATATATGTGATAATGAGCTACATGCATTAATTACATAACATACATCCTGTTAATAAATAAAGACATCAAATAACTAGTTTATTGGAAATTGCTAGATATAAGAGCAAAGAACAAAATATATACAGATTAAATACCAACTGTAAAATTTACATTATGGCAGCAATAAAGTATTGAGTATTGAGTAAATAATTTCAGTAACATTACGAGATCTAATTTTATATTACAAAGTGCTGGCTTTTAAAGCAATACCTTTACCTTTGATTTAAAAGTATTACAACTCACAAGGTTACAGAGTGGCGGTGGCCAATTATTCCAGCATTTTGTTGCACTATACCGGAATCCTGGGTGTAGTGGCGTGTTAATGCGGCTCCGCATTAACACGCCGTAACGAAGCGTATAACCGGCCATAGAAGCTTTCCACTTCTAAAAGGACTGCCGGCTTCGAAGCAACGACTGCTCCACTTGCTGTGGTCGACTTTGTCAGGTGGCTTCTTCTAAGAGATTGTACGAACACTTTTGACCTCCGATTCTGCTCGATCGCTCTTTCAATTGAAAGAGTATTGGAGCACCGGAGGTCGTGTCGTACGAGCTTACTGATGTCTCGGTTTAGAGTCCGCTTTGCCGACAAAGTGGCAGGTGGGTTTTCACATCGTTTCTTCATCAGCCCTGGCTCCCAGCTCCATCAGGGTCCCTTATGAAAGCTTCGACTTCCTACCCTTACGCTGCATTTAACAAAATCTCTTACCTTCTTCCCTGAGGATCTGAACCACATTTTCGAGGTTCTGGTTTACGTCGGTTGTGGTTTCCAAGGCAGCGAATCGGTTTTCGAGTTTTGACTGGAACGTTTAAGATCATGTCATGGCTTAGAGCAGAGTTGGTCGGAGCCTGGATTTCATCAAACATTCACGTTCAGCCTTAAAGTTGATATTCAGAGAGCCCCGGACAAGTCGGTGATCACTACCGGTATTAAACCTATTGATTACTGAGACGTCTCTGAATATTTGTCGCCTATCCGTCATGATGAAATCGATCTCATTTCTGGTCATAGCGTCGGGGCTTTGCCACGACCACTTCCTTTGGGGCTGTTTCTTGAAGAAAGAGTTCATCAAAACCTAACCCCTAACCTAACCCCTCCCGTTCTAGGAAGTTGACCAGCATTTGCCCCCTATGATTCCTGCTTCCAAATCCATGGGATAAGATCCCATAGTACCGCTTCTCCGCAATTCTGTACTCCCACTTTAACGTTGAAGTCACCCATAACAACTTTGTAGTGGGTTTTAGCTGTGAAGTGGAGGGCTCGATATGTCATCGTACATATCATCTCATCCACCAGTGTCGAGGTCGGTGCGTACACTTGCATAACTTTGAGGCTATACCTCTCGGTGAGCTTGATAATGAGGTACGCTCCCCGTTCGACACACTGGAAATTTCCAAAACCTTGTCAGAAAAGGACTTATTTACCAGAAACGTAACGCTACCTTGGGGTCGTTGGTCTCCCTCGCGAAAGTGCATTAGGTGGCCAGACTCGAGGGTTATGGTGTCAGCCCCCTCTCTTCAGACTTCTCATAGCCCTAGGATATGCCTCCTAATCGTCCCAAGTTCCATCTCAAGTTGCGCCAGATGCGAGTCAGTCGGGCCCGGAGATTCTTCGCACCCCCTGCTCCGCCGTTACCGTGGTCGCCACCATGTCCAGGAATAGCGGGGCCGCTGGGAACTGGGGGCCGTGGCCTTTGTTGCGTCTGCATGGGGAGGATTTGCCCATAATCACCAAGCTGGGCAGGTGGGTTAGCTTGTCGCACCGGTGAAGCTACTGCCCGTCACCGTCCTGTTGTATTTAGCTACGCCTATTGGATGGATATACCGAAATCGGTCGGTCGCCAGAGCCTCGTTCGTCATTCAGCAGGATGCAACGCGAGCAGGTGAGGTTGGCTTGGGGCGAAAGATTGTTTGTTCGCCCCCTCACACCTCATAGAATTATTGTTCACGCAATATAATATACATTTAGTGAGCGTTGGTAATGATTTAAAATTGCACGTAACTACAACATTTTCGACAAAACAACACGAAAGTTTACCATTTAAATGATCTTTTAAAAATCCGGTTGATATTGATAATGTAATCAATTCAGTTAATTAAGTTTTAGATACACTTTTTACGCGATTATGTAAGTTTATTATGTCATTTAGGTAAATAATAACTTTTGGTACATTCGTTATTAGAACAAGTATTTAAGTCACAGAACTAAGAAGTATTATTTCTCACATATATTTTAGGCGTCCGTTGCAAAAAAATTTGTTGCACGTCTATGCTATTTGCACAAAAGACATGGAGATTTTGGTTTGTCTGTCTGTATGGCTTCTAACAAAATAAGTTATTGTCAAATAATATCTTAATGGTGGTCATTACTGATAATGTATCTTTTGTGTAACTATTGCGATATGATACTATCTCTACCTTCTAGTCGGTACAATATAAGATGATCAGTTGGCCAGAGTTCTTAGCTAAACTTGCATTTCGCACCAGAAAAATATCCACAACTAGGAGTGCAATGAGTGGTAGGTTAAGCAATACTGGGCCTCTCAAGGCAAGCGCGGACAAGGGAAAAGGCAGCGTGGCGGTCAAGCCGCTAGAACTTGACGATGTACTGACCAACGAACTGGGCCAGTTTGGACGCTATCAGCTAATCAACATCCTCTTGATCGCGATCCCAATCATGATGGCAACGTTTATAAACGAGTATGTCTTCTCTGCGGCAGCTATTCCACACAGGTATACACTAGAGACTATTTTTATATTTAAGATAGTATTAGTATCTATAAACACGTTGGTGTCTCTATTTTAGTTATTTTTTTCCACATAGAAATAATTATAATTGCGGTATGTTGTGCAGACAATATACAAATAGTCCGTCCCTTTATTTTGTTTACACAAAAATGAAAAAATTGCAACAATGGTTTTAGTATAGCTTTTTTTTTAATGTTTACTAGCAACCGAAATGACTAGTCTTTCCATTTTAGTCTTTGGGCGTGGTGCAGAGCATATGAAATAATATACATTTAGATCATTTTGTTTATAACTTTGCTGGTCTGTGTCCAGGTGTGACAACCGTTAGTTAAGCACGGCAAAAGATATATGTTCTTCACTCTAATTTTAATAATTTTAAATATTTACTGCCATATTGCTTTCAAATATTTTTTTCATACTCCAGTATTTATTCAAAGTATTTTGTATTCTTCTTTCTACTTTTAATTTGTTATTTTAGCTGTTAAAGCCTATTTGTTTTCCCAAGTAGATATATTTATCTGTGTAAGCCAGTACTCCGCTATCAACTGAGATTCTTATTTCTGTGCTGTTTGTCACGACCATTGTTTTTGTTAGGTTCATTTCTAGGCCGACTCTTTGGCTAGCTTTGTTTAGCGAATGGATTATTAATTGTAATTGTATACCTGATTCTGTTAGTAGCAGTAGCACCAGATTTTTATCAGAGTTTTATCTTTTTAACCTTTTTAATTATCTCATTTTGTAACCTTTTCTCACAAAATACAACATGTGATTCTTAGTGTGTGTTTAACCTTAAAGCCAACCATCTAATATTTTATTTCCATAAAGTAAACTTACGGTAAAAAATAATTTTCGAACGAACGGTACCTTAGTAGTGTTATTGTTGAATAATTACAAAAGTACCGCCAATCATAGCAAAAATGCATTATAAACAAAAGGGTTTTGCCCGCCCGCGTCTATGTCTGTCATCGCGGTATAAAGCCTATGTTACTCGCTAATAATGAACCTTTTCATTAGTGAAAGAATGTTAAAATGGGTTTAGTAGTTAACCACTAAGGTTTCGGCGTGAAAGCTTAACAAACAACAATCAAACAAACTCACTATCACATTTATAATACAAGTATGGAAGTGTTGATTTATTGTGTTGTTCCACCGTCGTGTGTATGAACAAATTTACACTACAGCATAATTGTGATATTTTCCAGGTGTCTTATAACAGAGTGTGGTGAAGACAGTAAGAGTAACTTATTCGATCCCGAGTGGGTTCTTAACGCCATCCCGTCGGCGAACAGTAACTCTGGCTTTTCGAGCTGTAGCCGCTTTCAGTCCCAAGGTAACGGGACCCTGGAGTACTGTCCCGCCGACCTGTTCACAACCACTACCACGGACTGCAATGGACAGTATGTTTACGCCAGGGACAATTCTATTGTTTACGACGTAAGTACATTTACGTGCGTAGTTGAACCCATTGAATATTTTCTAATAATATAATATATTTATGACTACTAAAATAATTATAATTAATCGATCAAATATTTAAATAGTTGCTGAATTGAATAAATTACAGAAAATATTTTATTTCTTTTATACATCATTAAATAAATATTAACCCTATACCAACACGTCTGGCCAGCGTGGTATAGTAGGCCAAAACCTTCTTTTTAAGGAGAGGCCTATGTCCAGCAGTGGACTATTAAAGGCTGTTGATGTGATGTGAAATAAATATTAAAATTTTGAACAAATATAAGCATCAATAATGATTATAATGAATAATACATGACATGTGCAGTTACCATGATTGTATCCTACTATATTAAATACAAACAAAACATTCTACTTAATATATGGTTGTGTTATCTTCCTCTCTCCCAAACAAACTGTGCTGCGCCCGACAGGGTCCGTAATGGTTGCCGCTTGAATTGTTATCACCCATATATTTACATTATGTAATATATTATGTACTAAGAAGGTGCAAAGATGTCCTATGACAAGGGACTCGAATTGCTTTTAATTACACAATTTTTAAAGATACAAGTTTCTGCTTCCAGTTTAACCTTGGCTGTGAAGACTGGCTTCGTGCCTTGCCAGGAACTCTGAACAGTGTCGGTACTCTGTTAGCGCTGCCCTTTACCGGCTACTTATCGGACAGATTCGGAAGACGGTTCACTCTCGTCGTCTGCGTATTCAACTTGGGACTGATCGGGTTGATCAGAGCTTTTTCAGTGAATTACCCGATGTATGTGGCGCTACAGATACTGCAGACCACGCTTGGTAGTGGAGCATATAGTACTTCGTATATTTTTGGTAAGTAGGTTTGGTATCTAAATTAAAAAGTATCAAAGTTAATATGTTAATTGCTAAACTTGCCTCGTTGCAGCGACTGAATTTGTGGGTCCTCGATACCGCGTGGCGACGAGTGCCTATTGTTCGTCAATGTTTGCTCTCGGCCAGGTGACAATCGGTGCAGTGGCCTGGATCGTTCAGCCCTGGCGATATATGATCATGGCTCTGCACATACCTTGCTTCCTTGTCGTATCCTATTACTGGCTTCTGGCCGACAGTGTACGATGGCAGCTCTCAAAGGGCAAGTTTGCTGAGGCTAAGGCATCGCTGGAGACGATGGCTAGAGTTAATAAAAAACAAATTAGTGAGAAATCAATGAATGCGCTGCTGAATCCACCAACTCCTCCGCCTAATACTGTAAGTTTGATTTAACTTGCTATAACGTTTATACTAAAACCGTTTACTTCTACGGAATCGTTTACCAAGTGTTAGTTAGCGGTGGTAGCGCACAACACCTATCATAACAAATAAATCATAATTACTAAAAGTGTTTCAAATTTCAAACGAAAGCTAAAGAAATCAAATTTTAATTATATACATATGGACAAAAGGCATTACGAATTTATAACATAATTGTATAAGTGCGATATGTGTGTCATTTCAAAATAATCTATATCATATGGATATACTGAAAATCGGTATCGGCAAATGATACAACCTTGAACATCTATGTTTTAACCTGTATCTAGATGCAGCGTCAAGTCGATCAGTACTACGAGTACACGTCGAACACTGACGGGTAAAGTTAAGCATAACAAAACACAATCTTGTAAATTCGAAAGCCAACGATAACGCACACACTGTGTAGATGCAACTATATTTGATATGCACTTTTCCGTGTCAAGTTTTGTTCTAAATTTCAATATTTATTTTGTCTTCAGGAGGACGAAGACGAAGTCAGCCTAATCAAAGCTATTTTTAAGTCGCGGGTGTTATTAGGCCGAGTGTGCACCACCCCCATCTGGTGGATCACTATAACGTTTGTCTACTATGGATTATCCATCAATTCAGTTGGCCTTTCCGACACCATCTACTTAAACTACATCTTGGTGTGTGCAGTTGAGATCCCTGGCTTTGTCACGGCTGCATTAATTTTGGGCAGGATTGGCAGAAAACTTACTCTCACAGGGGGATATTTCTTCAGCGCTGCTTGTAATATTGCTTTTATATTTATACCTCAAGGTAAGTTTTTCATCACAAGTGGGCCACATGAAGTTGAATATTATACCTACAATCAATTTTAATATACTTTAAAAACTTCACTTGTAACTAACTAGGAAACCAAACCTTGGAATTTAAATGTCGTTTACATTCCATCAATTAATTAATTGTCGTTACGAAATTCAATTTTGCCTGTATATGTATGTAGTTTGGCTTATCACGGTGCAGGATAATGCTATACTGTGATTTAGTAGAGCACTTCTGTAGCTATTAGTAAACTGGAGTAATGTACCTAGTTCGGATTATTGTAATCGCCACAAAGAGTATCTTTGTAGCGATTACATTAATGTATCAGATCGCTCAAGGTCAAGATGATAGTTAAAGGACGCTACATCGTACAACTGTACAAATATGCGTCGTACCTAATATCTGTATATTGTTTTAGATTTATCTACACTTCGTCTGGTGTTCTCCCTACTGGGCAAGTTTGGTATTTCCATGGTGATGACTTCTTTGTACCTATTTACGACAGAGTTGTACCCCACTCAGTACCGGCATAGCCTTCTGGCCTTTTCCTCGATGGTGGGACGTATCGGCTCCATAACGGCTCCCCTCACTCCTGTATTGGTAAGTCTGAGTGTACCTTTTTTAATATTAACAACAATATTTTTGTTCTCTTGAGGATGCAGGGTATAGTAGATCTATAAATACTAGGAGTGCAGCAGTGATTATAAACGCAGTGGTAAGTGCGGGGACTTGGTAGTCGAGTATTTTAATGACTAAACCGCTTTTGATTGTGTTCATATTATTACAAGGTCATGACAAAACTTGTTTGTTGGTTCCTAACTGTTCTAGGCGGAGTACTGGCACGGAATACCTCCCGCGATGTTCGCAGGTATGGCTATACTCTCGGGTTTACTAGTCCTCACACAGCCGGAGACTCTTGGAACCAAGTTGCCAGACACCCTGGAAGAAGCTGAGGCTATAGGATCACCAGAGTCCATGAGAGACCACAAGTCATGATAGCAAACAATCATTACATTTTACTTAAGGATCATTTAATTACTCATGTAACACAGCATTTTTCCATTCGAGGTCAGACATGTGTTGTTCGAAACGTTGTGTTCAGTCGTCCCACGTTGTCAAACGTTCATCAAAGTTCATGCATTTGTAAATATCCTTTACCATCAATTACACCAAATCTTAGAATGCATGTGTGCATCCTATCTAGACCATTATTTGCGTTCTCCCTTCTAGTCAAGTACGTATCAGCCACCAATAAATAATTACCTTGTAAAAACTGCACTAGTTTAATTATTTAAATGTTTTCCTGTTCACATACTAGTCCCCAGATGTATTATAGTATTACACAAATGAAAATAATGGTGGAATTTGCTTCCTACCAATTAATGTAGATTTTGTTTCAATCTGTTGGGCCTGTTGGTCCAGTAGCTAGCAATTCTGACTATCAGGCCAAAGATTGCGGTTTTGATTTTCACCTAGTACAAAGATTGTGTGATAAGCACTATTTGTTTTATGTTTATCTAGCATAGTCTAATGAATCAATCAGAAGTCTGGTAAACATAGAACAGGCTCAGCCTAGGATTAGACGTACGTGTGTGAGAAGTGTTAAGTTACATTTAAAAACATTATTAATCCTTAGAAATATTACTTTCTTGACAACACGTAAGCAAAATTCCATAATAAGCTGTTGCGTAGTTAAGGCCTGAAAGCGTAACAAACAAACAAGCAAGTAAACCAACAAGAAACTAATAATTCAATTCACATTTGCGTGTATAAGATAAGATTACATGGTTTTTGACAGGCGTTTATAAATTAATTGAAAATAAGTAGTATGATAAAATTAAAGATTTACAATATTTGCGTCCGTGTGGTGACGGATAAAGAATACGGAATATCATCGGTGGGCGATTAAAGGAACAAACTACGCAGAACAACTACACTGCAAAGAGAAGGAAAACCTGAAACAAACCCTATACCAACCCGTCTGGCCAGCGTGGTATAAGGCCAAACCCTCCTTACTAAGGAGATTCTTATGTCCAGCAGTGGACTAGTAATGGCTGTTGATGATGATGATGAAATATTTACAATATTTACTTAAAAGCGTGAAGACATTCCTATTTCTAGCGTCCCAAGAAGACTGGCAGTATTGCCATGTTGAATGGCAACGCTAATTCTCTGATCTAGAAAAAGAAAACAAAAAACAAAAAAAAAACCTGTTTCTAAACCACTGAATATTTTTTGTTGATATCGTATCATATCAAATCGTCTAGAAATAAAGTGCAGAATATGAGGTTTAAAGATTCTTCAAAACTAAAATAACACTTTGTATAATCTAAAATGATTTTTTTATCTAATCATCACAATTTGAATATATTTTTTAATCTAATATAACTTTAAATAATAATAATCCTATTTATATTAGATATATTATTTAATAATTTGTATGCCCAAGTGACTGATCATGGAATGAACATCATTAATAATAATTATGTAATGAACACCTGTATGTAACCCACGTATCACAAATAAACGATTTGATTTGATTTGAGAGTATTGTAATAGACGGCGACACTTGAGTACACGAGACAAAGCGACAAACTATTCATTATAACCGGTTCAGCCGCTCGATCGTGAGGAAGAGCCCAGCTACTGATGAATATTCTAATACCTCTCATGTCATGTAATGCGAGAACTAGCAAACTAGACCGGAGATGGCGATGGCTCTTCATTTCATAAATTAATAATTAAATTAATATTTATGGCTATTGATACGCCATCTAGTTTCAAACTAAGCAGAGCTTGTACTATGATAGCTAGATTGACTGATAGAATATCTTTTTTTTATAAATACATACATATAATACAAAGAAAACACCTGAACACCAAAATAAATATTTGCAAATCAAAATTTTGAAACATGAAATAAAACTTTTGAGATACTTTTGAAATAAAACTGCTCTATTTAATTAGGTTCGACTCCAAAATAACACACGAAGATATTTATTAGATAAGATATAACTGAGATTCATACCCAGCTATACAGTTGTTTATTCTGGGCGTGGCTCACGAGTTCACGTAAACATGAATGTAAGATGAAAAACATAGCTCACGTGCTGAGTTTGGGACTTAAAGGACATCACCGACACTCACACAGCAGTACCCAGCCAAAGCCGTGTGAAATCGGAAAAAAATGGACGATCACATTAACAATCGCCCAGTCCTGAGTCCTTTATTATTTATTTACACACACTAGAGCTATGAGCGTCTCAGCTAACAACGTAGTGATGGATGGATAGTAGACGTTAGACGCCTGTGCGCTTGTTTGCATCTAGATTAAAAAACTCTTTGTTATTACATTTTTATGTGTACTTGACTAATCGCTCTAGTTAAAATAACTAATTTAAATTTCCTTTGTTTACTAATTTGCTGTGGTTACAACAAGAACCTGTATTAATGAGAAAGTTCTAAAAAAGCATAACTTAAATCGCTGAATAGCTTAGGTTGAATTTAGTACACAGGTAGCTCTTAGGACATAGACAACTGCTTAAAATAGATAAAGTTGTGATAATAATCTAAAAGTAACAGTAGACATACACGACCAGGTAAACAAGTAATAAAAACTTTTGTTATTGCTTCAATATATTGTCGGTCCCTAAAGGTAATCACTTTCAACATTTTATATCAATAACAAAGAGAAACACAAGGGAAAACACAAAACTGTGTTAAACTATGCAAGTATTGCTGCTTTCTCATACAATTTTCACGTTTATATCATAAATCTCTTGAACTCCTAGGTGTTAACTCTTGCTGTTCAACCTGACCTCAAAGTTTGGGTAGATAGGTCACGTCACCTACCGACTGACGCAGGTACTCATATGGCATGGTTGCTTTGGTGAGTACCTGAATCGGATTACACTGTACTGATTGAACGCGAGGAGACAGCACAATGCCAGCACTGCGCAGTCGACTGAGACCCCGCCCAGCATACGCTGGAAGACTGCTCCGCGTGGGCGTCTGAACGCGAGTCGAAAAAATTGGGCGAGACCTATCCTCGCCCGCAATCATTGCTGCCATGCTAGCGGGTGAGGAGGGTTGAATTTACAAGCATTTATAGGCATGTATGTTGGCATTACAGACTGACAGGAAGAGACCGCTGAACGGGATCGGTAGAGGGCCGATCCCGAGCGTATAGGCTCATATCGCCGCCGACGGGACCGCAGGCTGCCAGAGAGTGGGGATCTCTGGTGGCAGATTGATTAGCGCGGTAAGGGACATGGGGGCGGCCTAATTGCACCAAAATGCAATCGAGCTCCAAGATTAAGTGATAGGCAGGGGGGTAATTTCTGGCCTCCCTCGGGATAGGGCCTGGTAGGTGCGGCGTCGATCCGGGGGGGGGGGGCCTGAAATTACATGGTCTAGGTCCGCCCCAGAGTAGGGCGCCTGAGGCCGGCCGTCGGAGTGGTTTTAGTGGAAACACCACATACTCCTGGCTCCTGCGTCCTTTAGGATTTTTCACCCCGTTACCAAAAAAAAGGTGTTAAATCTTGTTAATTGCTTGGGTAATCCGCAAGATATTACAATAATCTCTATTACTTCGAATGCGGTGGATTCTGACTGTCTAAGCCGCAATATGATCCTCCAAATCCTCGATGAAATCCTTCCTGTTGTTTGTCACATACTAAACTTTTCAATTACCTACAGCGTATTTCCAACGGCTTGGAAGGATGCTGAAGGTATACCAATCCCCAAAAAGAAAAACCCCGCATCCTTCTCCGATTACCGCCCTATTTCGTTCCTCCCTTTTCTATCCAAGGTCCTTGAACGTCTTATTCATTCTCAACTCACGAATTTCTTATCTAGAAACATTCTCCTAAATCCTCTCCAGTCCGGTTTTCGACCTGGTCACAGTACCACTACTACACTAGTCTATATTACGGAGGATATCAGATCTGCTATGGAGAACGGCGAGCTTACAGTTCTAACACTGCTGGACTTCAGTAACGCATTCAACACGGTCGACTTTGACGTTCTGCTGTGTACATTACGCACTCTTAACATATGTCCAACTGCGATTGACTGGTTTCGCAACTACCTGCTTGGTCGCCGGCAGCGCACTAGTATTGAGAGCACTGTTTCATCTTGGTGTAGTACTACAGCCGGTGTACCGCAGGGCGGCGTGCTATCTCCCCTACTTTTCTCTGTTTTTATCAACACTATCACTAATGATCTATCGTCTTCCTACTACCTGTATGCAGATGATCTCCAGATCTATTCTAGGGTTACACTAGGTAATCTGGCTGATGCTGTTGGCACCACAAATGATGACCTAGATAAAATATGTAGGTGGAGCAACTATCTACTATCAACAAAAATAAACCCAACTAAAACTCAGGTCATTGTTGTTGGAAGTTCGAGAATGATCTCCAAAATTGACTGGACAAATCTGCCTAAAATCACTTGTAACGGCACACTTATTCCGTACAGCGATAGGGTAAAAAACCTGGGCATTTACATTGATACTACCTTATCTTGGGGACCTCAGTTACAAGAGCTGAGTCGCAAAATGTTTGCTGCTGCAGGGTCCTTGCGCCGACTTCGCAACTTTCTACCTACTACTACCAAGATTACTCTTGCACAATCCCTTCTTCTCCCCATCCCTGATTATGCTGATGCCAGCTATGACCTTACTGAAGACAAATTGAATAAGCTTGAGAGGCTCCAAAATCTCTGCATAAGATTCATATTTGGACTTCGCAAATATGATCATGTTTCTGAATTTCGCAAATAGCTTAAGTGGTTACCCATTCGCCTTCGCTCTTCTCTATAGTATTCCATTTAATCCTTCTACTCCAAAGTACCTCAAATCACGGTTTACGTTCTTGAATGACACACACTCCAAACTGTTGAGATCGTCAGAGAAACTAAAACTAAAAATGCCGGGACATTCCACAAAATTCCTTGTCGTCTCCTTCTCTGTCCAAGCAGTTCGGATGTGGAAC